GACAGACCAAAAGGAATCTCGTATTAAAATGTTTGTTCCATGTAATACCATAACCTGAATCAAGAATTTCATCACAAAGCCCTACAAACTTTACCCTTCTAGAAACAAATCAAACCTGTCCCTGCAAAACACTGGAATCATCTGGCTAGCTGTCAAGCACTGAGTCACTGGAAAAATCTTTTAACCCCACTCTACAGTCCAGATGAGATGCATTTTCTGTTCCTGGAATTATTTATTCCTAAAATTTGTCTAAATAACCTTTCCTTGATGCTTTAGGCTACAACCAATCAATCTACTTAGTCCAATGTTTTGAGTCACAATCTCTTACCTTAGCCATTTTAGAAAAGTACTCACAGCTGAATTCCCAGGGCCACTGCTACCCTGCAACTTAACCAAACTGCTTGAAAACAAAGGAACCAAATAGCAGCAAAAGCAGGAGAATCTGCAATTCATTGCCCTGATAGAGTTCTTTATTATTAAAGTTATATTGTGATGAACCGGTCCTAAAAATGGTTCCCAATTTAAAAAGAAAAAAAAAAAACTGTGCCCCTTTGTTAGTGGGATTATACAATATTCAATTCAATACATATAATAAACTAATAACCAAACTTTACTGAGGATTTACTACATGCCAAGATCTGTTTTAAGCACTTTGACAACTTACTGAATTTTCCTAACAGCACCATATGACAAGCTATTATTATCCTCATTTTAGGGACAGGGAAAGTGCCACAGCAAGGCTGAGTAACATGCCCCATGGCACACCACCAGAAAATGCCAATGCTCGATCTGGAGGGTGGCAGGCTGGCCCTGGAGCCTGGGTCTTCACATGTGAAGCTGCCTCCCCTGATTACCTTTAAAAGCCTGGATTCGATAACCCTTCTTCACTCCCCCGTTAGCGAAGCCAGGATAACTTGACAGAAGAAAATCTATCCATTCACACCAGCATACGCAACCAGAAGGCTTAAATCAGCGGAAGTGAGAAATGATGGAAACTGAATCATATATTTCATTACTGTGAATAGCCTCTGAGCTCTGAAGTTTACAAACCAAGTCCAAATGCCCCTAAGCTTCAAGTCGAAGCCCGGAGCCAAGCCACCCTGGGCCCCCTCCCCCACCCAGTCCTCTTTCCGAGTTGAGAGGGGCGCACTGCCCGCGGCATCCAGCACTGTCTTGGAGGCCACAGGCCACCGCAGAGCCCGGGGCACAAGGCATCCCCGTGGGAGGAAACGGGTCCCTGTAGTTCGCGGGAAGGAGGTGGGAGAGGTCACGGCGGAGGGGTGGGCCCCGCAGGAAAAGGGAGGAGCGGACGGGGGACAGAAATGGGTGCGGGAGACAGGTGGGAACCAAGGGCGGGGCGGGCCAGGCGAAGGAGGAGAAGGCGGTGCGGAAATCCACGCGCTCCGAAAGCAGTACATCGCGGTGAGCGGCCCTGCGGGGCTGGCAGGCGCCTCACGCAGCCCTCAGGCCTCCGCACG